ATATGTTAATGTTCGCGGGTTTTTTTTTTTTAAATGGCGGGTGCGGCTTATAGTCCGAAAAATACGGTAGTTTTGTAAAAAGATTATACAGTTTTAGTTAGTTAGTTATTATTTTCTTCATTTTGTTTTAGTTTTTATTTATATCAGTTAACTAAAATGTTTTTTTAATTCTTTCGTTAGTTTTAGTTAACTATAATAACCCTGGGGTGAAGGAGGAGCAACACTCACATGTCGGCCTTCTGGATGCAGACGACGGCGCAGGCGAACCTCTGCAGCTCCCCTCCGGACAGGTCCTCCACGTTCCTCTCCCTCAGGTGACTCAGATCTGACCACAAACAGGTCCAGGGTTAGACTGGTGCCAACGTGGAAAACTACCAGACGTTTGTTTCTTTAAACGTTCGTACCGAGCTGATTGCAGACGATGTCCTGAGTGTCTGTGTCGTCCTTCCTGCTCAGGATGGACCCTACTGACCCCTGCAGGCAGAGACCAGCAGTTACAACCAGAACCAAACCAGACCTGAACACGAGACCTGCTGGGGTCACACACCTTCACGGTTTTGGGGATCTGGTCCACGTACTGCGGCTTGACGATGGCCCTCAGGTCGTCCTCCAGGATCTTGGTGAAGTAGTTCTGCAGCTCAGAACCTCTGAAGTAGGTCAGGATCTCCTGCCAGTCTGGAGGGTTCTGGATTCAGAACCACAAGCGTCATGAAAACAAATTCAAACCTTTAGTTTGAGTTCAATTCAAACCTTTAGTTTGAGTTCAATTCAAACCTTTAGTTTGAGTTCACTTCAAACCTTTAGTTTGAGTTAAAAACCTGAAGTTTATCAAACTCAAACACAGGCAGCAGATTAACAGTAAAGCAGCTACGCCCAGATTATAATCTCTGCAGAGGCGGGTCCGGCGGCTCGACACTCACGTCGTATTTTCCCAGGTTGGGTTTCTGTTTTCCAGCCAGGATCTTCAGAGCCGTGGACTTCCCGATACCGTTGGTCCCCACCAGACCCAGAACCTCCCCGGGCCTGGGGATAGGCAGCCTGCAGAACAAAAACACACAAATTATTAGATTATTAATAAATTGTTTCAATCAGCAGATTATTTTCTGTCAAATCAGTTTCCATTTTTATTGAACAAATTCACAGCTAAAGAAATATAATTTTAGAGTGCTGAAAGGCCGCTCAGCCAAACAAAAGATAAATCAAGCAGAAAAAATTATTCAATTGAACGAAATTGATAACTATCAAAACAAATGCTAAAGCTAAAATTAACAAAAAACATTAAAAGTAGCAAAAATTTTAGGTTAAATTAGGTAAACAGAAGCTAAATGTGACCCATCATATCGAAATAAGGATCAAGTCAAATTTGGTCAAAATAACCTAAATACATTTTCAGATTCCTGCTTAAAAACTTACATTTTGATCCCTGGATCGTTCTGATTTTCATCAGCTTATCCAGAAATATGACTTAATTTGTCTTGTTGGTTACGATAACACATTACTGTTTGGTCTGAATCTTAATTTTATGTAAATCTAGAGTTATTTTTGCTGTCAATATAAAGAGGAAACCTTAAATAGTATTAGTACATCAAGATTTCCCAGTTGTAAAAAAACAAACTTTTCTAGCTCATAAGGGAAAATTTCTAAATTTTAAGGTGTTTTTCCTCAAAATCAGATTTTTGTTGTTGCGACTGCTCAAAAAAATGCTTCAGATTTTGTTTTAAGATTATATTTTAGACAGCTCATTCAAACGATACATTTATAAGGCAATAATTATATTTTGACAAAATGCAATTTTTGCACACGTTTAAATCAAAACCCTTTATCTGCCCATTTCTCTACATTCCACTTTTGGACCTAATCCTGGTTTCGATGTGATGGGTCGCAAATTTAGCAAAACATGAGCTTGTTAAAATATCCAAAACAAGAGCAGGAGAGAGCAAAACAGAACATTTAAAAACCATGTGCTAAAATAAGAGTTTGAGCTAAACATCCATTTCAACTTATAATGAAAAATTAAATAAAATTAAAGTTGAACTGACTAATAAACTTCAAATAATTTCATGCAGACAGTTGTTTTATTTAAAATCACAACTATAAGTTAAGTCAGGCAGAGTACCTGTGTAGTTTGAAGGAGTTGGCACAATATCTGTGTGTCGTTTCTTTCTCCAGGTTGCTGGGAAGGTTGACGATGGACAACGCTCCAAATGGACATTTCTGGAAGGAGAAAAACCCGTTAGGAACTCAGACTGGACCACAGAACCACGGTCCTTTCCGTCAACAATACCTTGATGCAGATGCCGCAGCCGATACACAGAGACTCCGAGATCCAGACGATCTTACTCTGAGACGTCACCTCGATGCACAGTTTACCTGCAGACACATGGGTTAGCATAAACACTACTTCCTGCTGGGAGGGGGGTTCTGAGGGGTCCGGACACTCACCCATGCGGACCACCGGGCAGCTCTTCTTGCACTCCTGACGACATTTTTTAGGTTTGCACTTGTCGTGGTTGACGATGGCGATCCTGGTGTTTTTATCCGCCATGACGGGGGGCTGGAATGACGGGCGCTCGCACCTGCGGAGCAGAGATATATAACAGGAGTTTGACTGAAGCAAAATAAAAAAAATTTTAAAAATCTGTTTTTTGACCAACAAGTTAAAGGAAACAAAGAAAAATGACTTTAACATTTGTTTCCACATTAAACAACTCTTAAAAATGTTATTTGCAATGATTAGCAAAGCATGCTAAAGCTAAAATTAAAGCAAAGAAACTAAAATGATCAAAACAATAGCTAACATCGAACAAAGCAGATGCTGAAGCTAAAATTAGCAATTAGTTATTAAAACATGCTAAAACTAACAAGAGAACCTGACAACAACAAACAAAATCAGAAAATAAAAAACTACAAAACATTGGCCACAATTAGTAAAACACGTGCACACAAACAATACAAAGAACCCAGCAAACATAGGTTAAAATTAACACAAAGTAGATAAAATCAGCAAAACAAACTATAATAAGAGAAGCCTGCTCCAATCATCAGGTAAACATTACAAAACATTGTCTGCACTTTGCAAAACACATGATGCTAAAGCTTCAGTTAGCATAGCAGAAGCTAAATTATGCTAAATTATTAAGCAAAGCATAAGCTGGTGGTTAATAAATTAAGATCCAGATTTAAAATAATAACCAGGAATACAGACATTAATTTAACACCGGAACTAAACATGGTGATTGTAAAAAATATATACATATTTAATTAAAAGCGTGTGACGTGTAAGAAATAAATCATGAAATTACTTTTGCTGCGTTTTCACTTTAAAATGATGCTCATGTTCATTTGATCACAGAAATGAGCGAAACAGATGTTTATATTTTATAAAAATAAAACCCTCTTATCAAGGTCTGATCAGACCTTTATCTAATCAATAATTTCCTCCTGCTTAATTCGGCGACATAATTTAGTAAAACCAGACTGAATTTAGAGACTTCTTTCAGTTTTTAAACCCACATCGAAACGTGACGGGCGTTGGCAAAAAGCATCAATGAGTTATTTACTTCAAATTCATTAACGACACGTAGATTTTTCAGGTGCCGAATTCATCAGCTAACCCATGAGATTAGATAAACACGTTAATTACGATAAATTACTTATTATTAAAGTTTATTTTTAAAGAACGCTTTGATTTAACCGATTATCCAACGCAGATTTGAATACTAGTTACTTTAATTGAGGAAACGTCATATTTTCAGGAGCTTCCGCTCACATTTAAGAGCTGTGAGATATAAACACGACTTTTGAGAACCAATGAGGTCTAACTCTGTGCTCATAGAAGACAAACGATCAAATTAAAAATGGCCAAATGGAATCGTACCTTTAAACGCAGCCACCAGGGAAAGCTAACACTTAGCCGCGTAGGCCCCACTGTGACAGCTGCTCTACAGTGGTCACAAACCCCCCAAAACAGAGCAAAACTCTGGGCGATAGATTCAAAACTCACCCCTCTTCGACTCCAACACTCCTCCTTAGGATAAAACAGAAGAGAGGCGACACTTATAAGAAAGTATTTGATGTAAAACTTGTTTTTTCTCCAGCAACGTGTTTCTCTACTAGAAGCCGGCTGCGGGAAAGATGGCGGGACGCACGCACGCCACACGTGACCTGACGTAATGACGTAAAACGGCTGCGTTTCATCACAGCGACGAGAGAAACTTGAGTTTAAATCTGTTGTGTGGGATAAACTTGCATCTCATGAGTTAACGGGTATGTTAGAGGCCTCCGCTAATATATATTGTGAGTTCAGTTTTCATATATTTATCATAAATGACGTTTTGGTGTTTTTAAGGTTATATTATGAAAAAGCTTGGGCGTTAGCAGCTAGCTGCATCATCGCTAACATGTTTGCTACATTTAAGCAGCAGTCAGCGAAAATAAAACTCAAATAATAGTGTCATTTACATGCCGAATTTATCACAAAATCTCACTAAATCGTTTATGACCCTTAAATGGGCCCTGCAAACTATCTCATTTGACTTATGCAAGAATGAGTTAGAAAAAGTCTACAATTTAAATGAGATCCGTGCTCGTTTACGGCATTTCAAAGTAAAAGCGTCCGAATATCAGTTGCAGCGTGCTCCTCATAGGTTTATTTTATTTTATGGTTACAGGATGGCCACCCCGAGCAAGACGCCGCCTGGTGCCGACCCCAAACAGCTGGAGAGAACCGGGACAGTTCGGGAAATAGGCTCCCAGGCTGTGTGGTCCCTGTCGTCCTGTAAGCCAGGTAAATAAATCTCAGGAGGAGTGAGGCTTTATTCATAGAGGAGGGAGTTTAACCATCAACCTTCCGTCTGAGTGCAGGTTTCGGAGTGGATCAGCTGAGGGATGACAACCTGGAGACCTACTGGCAGTCGGATGGATCTCAGCCTCACCTGGTCAACATTCAGTTCAGGTAACCTGTGAAGTTGGCTGTTGGTGGAGCTGTTGTGTGTCCATGTGAGTCGATCGTTTCCACCTGGCGTCTGCAGGAGGAGGACGACGGTGAAGATGTTGTGCATCTACGCCGATTATAAATCAGATGAGAGCTACACGCCGAGTAAGATCTCTGTGAGGGTGGGTAACAACTTCCACAACCTTCAGGAAGTCAGAGTAAGACTCGTCTTAATGAAAGTCCTGACTGCCCCAGGTTTGACACGCTCTCTGACGCTTTTCTTCTGTGGTTTTTCTCGCTGCAGCAGCTGGAGATGGTGGAGCCCAGTGGCTGGATCCACATCTCGCTCCTCAACCAGGTGCAAAAAACCCCCCTAAAGATTCAGTTTAAACATTTCATATTCACCAAAAGTTTCCTAAATGACTCCGAGTCGGTGCGTTTCAGAGAACCAACGACCCGATCAGCACCTTCATGATCCAGATCGCGGTCCTCGCCAACCACCAGAACGGCCGGGACACGCACATGCGCCAGATCAAGGTGTACACGCCCGTGGAGGAGAGCACCATCGGCAAGTTCCCACGATGCACCACGGTGGACTTCATGATGTACCGCACCATCAGGTGATCCGGTCCGGAGACCTGACCGAGACTGCGACTCCTTCAAAATAAAACCCATGAATTCAGACTTTATTCACCAACTGAGTGTTGGACCTGACTAGGAATATTTTTTTAACTCTTTGTGACTGTGATTTTTTTTATTTGTTTCAAGATCTTTAAATAAACATTTCAAACCCAGATGAAGGAACTCTCTTGACCCCAGAATCTGGATTTACTGCTTGTTCTGTAGTTCTACAGTTTCACCACTAGAGGGAGGCCGAAGCTACAGGAGTCAGAGTGGATGAGGTGGGCGGGGCTTACATGATCAGTTTATTTGGTAACAGTAAGTGTCTTGATTTGCTGTTTGACTGTAAACAAAATAAAAGTTTGTAAACATGAAGTCCTGAATGAGTTACAGAAATCTGTTAAAACAAGATGTGAAAATCAGCTAAACAGCAGCTAAAAGCTGCAGAGGCTTTAACGAGCAAAACTGTAAAAAAAGTATGAATTGGCCAAACTGTAGCTAAAACTTAATGTTTTACAAACTGTTTCTTTTTCTCCAGAAATACCCAGATTCTGACCCAGTTTTGACCAAGTCTTTTAGAGCAGAACCATCTGGTTCTGCATCAGTTTTCACATCATTTGATGTCGGTCTCGTCAGTTTTTATGAGGTGGAACTAATAAAACAAAGTAAACCAGGAAGATCTGGTCCACAACGTAGACATGGGTTCTTCCCCTATCAACTCCCACCACAGAACCAGAACCACACAACCAGAGAACCTGAGAAGAACGCTCAACAGTTACAACATGGAGTCAATTCAGCTTTTCACAATAAAAGCCTTGCAATTTATCTTGGAAGTCTCATACAAATTACTTCAGAACAAAAATAGCAAAATCCACTGCAGTACTGTACAAGGTAAATGAGTTCTGTAATAATAAAGCACTGTTTATATTACATAATGTAATAATTGTTCCACATTTGACTTATAGTGTTGAAGTCTGGGGAAAGTCATGTAAAAAAATCACTAATTCTATTTTTATTTTGAAAAACAGAGCCATAAGAATTTTAGCCAGAGTACATTATAATCACCAATAAAATATATTATGTCATCAATTTAAATTAATACAATTTTACAAGTTGGTTGATTAAAGGATTTTGTTGATTATGTAAAACTTCATTAAGAGGGAAAATATTTAAAATCTTAAAGGATTTGAAATGTTTGTGAAACTTAAAACTCAAACTAACGTTAAAGATGTACCTCAGTTCAAGAAATATGGTTAGTGATTATAAAAATGCTGGTTCCATTAATTTATTTGGAAGAATGGTAAAATTTTATTTGTTGATAAAATATGAAAATATATAATAGGCATTCATACAAGCTGCTGTTTGAGTAGTTGTAATC